TCCTGCTTTCCACACTCTATTATAAACAGCGCTTTACTGAAAATCCGTTTATGCGAGTCCTTGTGTAAACGTGCAAAAGCTTTCTCCCCTTAAGGTAGGTTTCTAGAGGTAGAGTTTCATCAATATCCCTGAACGTCAAGAACCCTTAACGTTTATAAAAAAGAGGCAGCAGAAAAATGGGCGCCAGGCATATGAACAACGGGCACTTTAAAGAAGAGAAAATGAGAATGATGAGTCAAAACAAACAAAAAAATGTTCCATCTCACTAGTAATCAAGGGAAAGAGAAATTAGAGCGACGATAAGGCAGCATTCCAAGCCCATAAGATTGACAGGGAGCAATAAATCCACAGACGCAATAGAAGCGCCGTCTAAGCTCATCTACTTGCCGGGAGGGTCTGTGCATTGGCGTGGCCTCTGTAGGGTGAGGGGCGAGGGAGGGGCGGTCAGGTGAGCAGACACCCCCGCCAACCCCTGAACCCTCCCTTTGGGCGACTATATTCCAGAGGGAGTCCTGCACAAGGTGCCCTTATCACTGAAAACTGCAAGAACAGGTAGATCCGTCTCATGTTTTAAAACCACTGAGCAGTATTCCATAAAACGGAGGGACTCTGGGTTGTTTAAATCTCTCTTTACTGGGAGATATTTAGGTTTGATTTTCTTTCTATTCTATTTATTTATTTTTTTTTAATATATATTTTATTGATTTTTTTTTTTTTTACAGAGAGGAAGGGAGAGGAAGAGGGATAGCGAGTTAGAAACATCGATTCAGCTGCCTCTTGCACGCCCCCTACTGGGGATGTGCCCGCAACCCAGGTACATGCCCTTGACTGGAATCGAACCTGGGACTCTTGAGTCCGCAGGCCGACGCTCTATCCACTGAGCCAAACCAGCTAGGGCTCTTCTATTTAGACGGTTGTAGCAAACACTCGTGAATATGAGCATGTGAACAACGTTTCTCTGATAGATACCAAGACACGGCATAACTGGGTCGAAGGATAAGAACATTTAAAAAAAAATTTGAAAGTATAGGTGGCAAACCAGTTAGGGCAAGAACATTAAAAATGTAAATAACGACGCGAAGGCCGCGGAGTGTGTGATTCCACTTCTATGAAATGTCCGCCGTGGGCAACCCCGTAGAGACAGGAAGCAGCTCTCATGGTGGCGATGGGGTGGAGGGAGGAAATCAGGAGTTACTACTGCTCGTGGGTATGAGGTGTTTTTTGGGGACAACAGAAATATTCTGGAATTAGTGGTGATAGTTGCACGGCATTCTGAATATGCTGGAAACCACGAAATCGTACGCTGCAAACGGTGAATTGTATGCATGTAAGTTTTATCTCAATTAAAAAAAAATAAAATAGAAGTGGCCAAATTGCCCTCCACCGTAACTTCTAAGAACAGTGTGTGAGAATACCTGTTTTCCATATCCTCACACTGTCCGTCTTTTACATTTTTGCTAATCTGACAGGAAAAAAAAATAGATTTTTAGAAGTTTTCATTTCCTTGCTTACCATTGGGGCTGAGCGTCTTTTCATAGATTGGCTTTCCCCTGCGAGTCTGGCGTGTATGATTCGCCCGTTTTTCTCCTCTACTGTTTATCTTGTTCTCGTTGATTTATAGGAGCTCCGTTTATGATGGGGATTAACCTTTTATCTTTTTATTTTTTTATGGGTCAGACTGTCAGTCTTTTGATGTTTTGAGTGACTTTTAGAATGGCTTCCCCCACCGTGATCATATACATGTCCTGCTACATTTTGTTCTGGTATTTTGTTGGCTTTTCATTGATGGTTTAAGGCAGCGGTTCTCAACCTGTGGGTCGCGACCCCTTTGGGGGTCGAACGACCCTTTCACAGGGGTCGCCTAAGACCACCGGAAAACACATATATAATTACATATTGTTTTTGTGATTAATCACTATGCTTTAATTATGTTCAATTTGTAACAATGAAATTGGGGGTCACCACAACATGAGGAACTGTATTAAAGGGCCGCAGCATTAGGAAGGTTGAGAACCACTGGTTTAAGGCTTTAATCCATCTGTGTTCTAGTGACTGAGGTGCGGTAGGGGTCTGATTATTTATGCTATTTATGCATTGATGACATCTTTTATGTTCTGTGAGATCCTGTTCAGAGCGTTTTGTCTAATTTTCCGTGCATACAGGCAGGGGAGAGTATTTAACATCCAGAAGGATATTCAATATCTGCTTAACGTTAAGAATGGACTCCCAGGCATCCCATAAGTGGTGAACTCCTGCCTTGAATTTAAATTCAGTTGCCTTATATCAGGGGTGGATCCAGGTTTTGTGGGGCCTGAAGTTTATATAGCTTCAGGAGTTTTTTTTGTTTTGGTTTTTTTTTTCAACCCCAGAATCCAAATTATGAGTATGAAGCTGGGCACAGAGACTTGAAACCCCAGCGTCGTTGGCTCCACAGGCAGCGCAGTCCTGGCGACAGTCTCAGGATGCTCTTGTGCATAAAAGGCTGAGGACCGCCGTCTCTACCCGGGCTGGGGAATGACTGCCTTTTATCTTTACCAACTGCCACCACCTAAGGATTTTCTTCTCCTTCTGTCTCTTGAAGGCACATTTAAGAGCCGACTCACACATCCAGGCGGCTTTCATGTGGCAAGTGGAGTTAGCCCGGGCCCTGTTAGCCGAGTCTTTGCTGCCTCTGCTTGGCTCAGACGTAACCTATTTGATCAGCGGAGTCGCTGGGAGCTCAGCATGATAATGTGGATCGTTAATCTTACAAGCCCTCGGAACCTGAATTTACAGCCTTAACTTTGCATATCTGCTTACTTGTGCATTAGACTCCGGTCAGCACTCTGGAGAGGCATGCAAATGCGACGAGCAGGGCTTTCTTCGGCATCCTGCCCCTGGAAAAATCTAGCTGGTTTGGCTCAGTGGATGGAGCGTGGGGCCCGGGGTGCGTGCGGGGCTCCGGGCTCCGGGCTCCGGGCTCCATCCCCCATCCCCCACGGGGCGTGTGGGAGGTGGCCGATCGGTGATTCTCTCTCATCATGGATGTTTCTATTTCCCTCTCCCTTCCTCTCTGAAATCAATAATAATAAATTTTTAAAAAAAAATCAGAGAGGCAGGCAGTGACCGGTGTCGTTCTAAAGGATGGAGAGGTTAACAATAATACTCGACCTTGTAACTAGGAGCCGGGCACCACGCAGAATGCTACCCGGATTGTCTACTTCATCCTTACCACCCGCCATGAGGCAGGCGCTGTATGATCCTTGCTTTCCAGATGAGGAAGTGGAGGGTTGGGGGGGGGGGGCGTGTATGTTCCTTACTCAAGGCCACAGCAGGAATACTCTGCAGCCCCCACTTCAAACCCTTTAGGACCAGCGCTCTCATTGGACGAATTAGAAAACACGCAGAGAGGGGACACAGCTTGAGCTTTTATCGTTTAACGTCAGGTTGTATTGAGTGCTGCGTGTCGACCATCGTGCTTTGTTTTGTTTTAATATTTTATTGATTTTTTACAGAGAGGAAGGGAGAGGGATAGAGAGTTAGAAACATTGATGAGAGAGAAACATCGATCAGCTGCCTCCTGCACACCCCCCACTGGGGATGTGCCCGCAACCAAGGTACATGCCCCTGACCGGAATCGAACCTGGGACCTTTCAGTCCGCAGGCCGACGCTCTATCCACTGAGCCAAACCGGTTATGGCTCGACCATGGTGTTTTAAACTTAAACGTCCTGGGTATGATTCCATGGAATCCCCGTAAGAGTCCTGGAAGGTAGATACTGTTATCACCCCATTTTACAGATGAGAAAACCGAGTCACGGGTTTCCCAGAGTCGCAGCTAATGAGTGAAAGAGCTGGGGTTGAACCTTAGGCAACCCGCCTCCCGAGGCAGTGCATGCAAGCTCAGAGTTCCTGGCTTACTCCATCCCCAGGCCTTTCCGAGGGCGAGACCAGCCAGGTCCCTGCCCGTTCCCGAAACGGAGAAATGCCTGGACGGGGCTACAGAATCTGCGGCACATTTTGAACGTTTACATTCGACAGATTAATCCCGTTAACACGCAGAAGACGATGCAATGCCGTTCCGCCGCTCCTCCGATGATTATGAGATTCCTGAGAAATAGTAATTCGTGGGGCTTCTATCCTAGGGCGGTGTGGGAATGAGGCCCGAGTTAAGGTTGCTGACAAGCCACCTTTCAGCCCCCACGGGGGGAGTGTCTGTGGCTGGGGGTGTGACTTCACTTGGAAAACACACCAGGAGCCCCACTAGAGCAGTGGTTCTCAACCTTCTGGCCCTTTAAATACAGTTCCTCAGGTTGTGACCCAACCATAACATTATTTTGGTTGCTACTTCATAACTGTAATGTTGCTACTGTGATGAATCGTCATGTCAATATCTGATATGCAGGATGGTCTTAGGCAACCCCTGTGAAAGGGTCGTTCGGCCGCCCAAGGGGCCGCGACCCACAGGTTGAGAACCGCTGCACTAGGGGCTCTTTGGGAGTGACAGGGCAGGCGGGCCGCGTTCCGGCCCGAGCCAGTGGTGTCCGGAGCCAACAGCTTGCGCTCGACCTTTCTTCTGCTTTTTCCCATTGCTGGTGGCTGAACGGATACATGTTTATAGACGATCCTCCTAAAATACCGAGCTTTGTGGGTTTGGCCCCAAGAAAAGCCACCGAATGCTGATTGACCAGAATCGGGTTTTGATTGTTCTATTCTCTTGGTTTCCCAGTTCGTGTCTGTTTTAAAATTCCATCTTATTTTGTTTTATTCATTATTTGCTGGGCAGGCTTAAGTGTCCTAAGAAAGAAAAGGATTATTTTTCTTAGATCGGAAAGTAAATCTCCGCGTTCCTGTCCTGGGAGAACACGTGGCAGCGCAGGGCCCCGCCCGGCCCTTGCGGAGAGCTGCCCTGCAGCGTTAGGAAAGCCCGTTCCCCTTTCACGCGTGTCTTTGTCTGGATGACAAACGTGAGTGACAGCCCTGGCGTCCCGTCTTCCCAGAGCATTTTCCCGAGCCTTGAATGAAAGCTGTTAAACACGGCGCCAGCCATATTCCCATCCCAGCTCCCCCCTCCCCCCGGCCGTCAGCTTGGTCACCAGCCACTTAGAAGCCATTAGCAGGTAAGGCTCTTATCACACCTTGCTCATCGCAAGGGCCACAGTCGCGTTTCTCGTCGCTTCATCTCCGAAGCTCATGCTCCCGGAGCGGCCGCTTTCTCTGACCGTTAGAAACCACAGCTCCCTTTCCCGACGAACAGAACGTCGCGTTTTCATTAGCGCCTCGCCCGCGGGGATTACGCCACGGCGTTCAGAGATGTGATCAGCTTTGAGTTTTCATTCAGGGATCATACACCAGCAAGGTTGAAATCTGGGCTGGTCGTCCGGATTGAATTGCTCCCTGGAGCTGGGAGGGAATTGGGCTGGAGCCCAGCCGTTCAGAAATGACAGTTGTCTCTCGAATCTCAATTGCTCGCTCTCCCCCCCTCTTCTCTCTCTCCAGTACGGCGACTACGACCCCTCTGTTCACAAGCGGGGATTTCTGGCCCAAGAGGAATTGCTTCCAAAAAGGGTAAGGCATCCTGTTCCCTGTCTGGGAAGAGATCGCAAGTGTGTGGCCTGTAGGACAGCGAACCGACGGACTTGAAGGGATAACGGAAGGACGTGGCAAGGACGTTATTATGAATGTTTTGTCATCGATCTTTCTTTTTCATTTAAAAAATATATTTATTTTTATTGATTCCAGAGAGGAAGGGAGAGGGAGAGGGAGATACGAACATCAGTGATGAGAGAGCATTATTGATCGGCTGCCTCCTTCCTGCACATCCCTCACTGGGGATGGAACCCGCAACCCGGGCAATGTGCCCTGACCGGGAATCGAACCCCGACCTCCTGGCTCATAGGTCGACGCTCAACCACGGAGCCACGCCGGCCGGGGTTGTAATCAATCTGGAGGAAAGAGTATGGAATCTCTGTTAAGAATATTAAAAATGCAAAGGTTCATGGAATGAGTTTGGGGCTGCCAGGACTCGCACGGCCTGCAAACGGTCCTTTCGTCAAAGGTTGGTGAGCGTCCGTGATTCCCGGGAAGGAGTGTGGAGCGGCACACGTTCAGCCCAGGGAGCCGAGCGCTTAGCAGCCGAGGGGGGTGCCGAGAGGAGACGAGTCAGGGGTGGGCGTTGTAGTTTTTCATCCTCGGTGTTGTTCATCCTGTTCATTAGCCGCAGAAGCAGGCCCTCTCTCCCTTTTGCTGCTTCTGATTTGATAGCTCCACTCGTCCGGAATACAGGCCTGCTCCTCACCTCGGCTTGGCTCTCCCTGCCCCTCTGACGGCTTCTGTGCAGGCGAAGGCCGCAGCACACGCAGCCTGGCCGAGCAGGTCGGCCCCAGATCAGTGAGCCCAAGATACTGAGCTCCTCCCTCTGGGACACACAGCCCAGGAACGGGGGGAGGGGCCCTGCCCAGCAAGGCGGGCACCTAGGCCTGAAGGGTGGCACCGCTGCCCGAGTTGTGACTCACACTGCATGGTGCCTGTTGACACGCCCACCCCTGCGTGCGACTGGCTCCCTGTGCGTGGCTTTTGGAAAACAGCCGTGCTGCCCTGGCCGGTTTGGCTCAGCGGATAGAGCATCGGTCTGCGGACCAAAGGGTCCCAGGTTCGATTCCGGTCAAGGGCACGTGCCTGGGTTGCGGGCTCGGTCCAACATGCAGGAGGCAGCAATCAATGATTCCCTCTCATCATTAATGTTTCTATCTCTCTCTTCCTCTCCCTTCCTCTCTGAAATCAATAAAAACATATTTTAAAAAAAGAAAGAAAGAAGAAAATAGCCGTGCTGTTTTGTCGAAGTGAAGCGTCATGATAAACATGGCACACGATACCGAACCTCCCTGTGGGTGTGGGTTTTTTATGTTGCTCTCTCTTTCTCTAGGTAATAAATCTGTATCAGATGACTCCAGAAATGTGGGAGGAGAGAATCACAGCCTGGTACGCGGAGCACCGAGGCCGGGCCAGGTGAGGCGGCTTCCTTTTGGGTTTATATTTCTTCATGGGCTTTTTTAAAAAAAAACACCAAAACAAAACTACAAAACTAGGACATGCTTGTTGAACAAAGTGCATGACTGTAGCATCTATAATAATAAAAGCGTAATATGCTAATTAGACTGGACGTCCTTCCAGCTGACCTTCCAGATGAAGCTGGGGCTGCGAGGGAAGCCAGTGCCAGCAGCCGGGGGAAGGAAGGCCTACGAGTACTCTTGCAGGAATTTCGTGCATCGGGCCTCTCGTGTAAAAGAAAAGAGAGAGCGAGGAGCATGTTCAGTTTTGTAGGAATCCTTTCCCCAGCGCTTGTGAGCGTGGGTACTCCCTGCCTGCTGGGGTGTGCGGGCCTGTATGCGTTGGTGATTTCGTTCCATGTTGAGAATTCCACCGTAGAGATATCCCACAGCTCTTGCGCTGATTTCTCTACCCATGGCATTTGGAGTAGCTAGAGGTGTTTCACTCTTACAAAACGTGCTGCAGTTGTACCGTGTTGTATCGTTACATAATGGGCTGAGTGACCTGTCCGTGGATTCCTTAGAAGAGCCGCTGAGTCAGAAGGATGCATTTTGAGTTTTGACAGGCGCCACCCAATTGCCCCCCAAAAAGGTGGTCCCTGCTTACGTGCCCATCAGCAGTGTGTGTCTCCACGCCCCCATGCTCTCCCCAACACCTGTTTTTATCAACCCAATTTTTATCATCTAAAAGGTAAAAAGTATCTTAAATATTAATCAGCACTTCCCTGATCACTTTAGGAACTGATCATCTTTTCATTCCCTTTAATTTTTAAAAAAATATATATTTTTATTGATTTCAGAGAGGAAGGGAGAGGGAGAGGGAGAGATAGGAACATCCATGATGAGAGAGAATCATTGATCAGCTGCCTCCTGCACGGCCCCCACTGGGGATCAAGCCCACAACCCGGGCACGTGCCCTTGACCGGAATGGAACCCGGGACCCTTCAGTCCGAGGGCCGACGCTCTAGCCGCTGAGCCAGACCAGCCAGGCCTGTTCTCCTAGGTTGATGCGGATGGGAGAGCCTGCTGGACGTCGCTGTGTAGCATGGACTCCGGTCAGGAGGAGCGTCACCTGGGTCTGCTCTGGCTCACTTCCCCTTTCCTTTCCCCACAGGGACGAGGCCGAGATGGAATATTTGAAGATAGCGCAGGACCTGGAGATGTACGGCGTGAACTACTTCGCCATCCGGGTACGTGGAAGCTTCTCCAAGTTCCCTGTGTGCAACCAGAGACAGACCCAGGGCCCGACTGCAGAAATGCATTCCTTTCTCATTCTGGATTGGAGATGCTTTTTTTGTTTTTTAAAATATGTGTTTATTGATTTCAGAGAGGAAGGGAGAGGGAAAGAGAGAGAGAAACATCAATGATGAGAGAGAATCATCCATCGGCTGCCTCCTGCACGCCCCCTACTGGGGATGGAGCCCACAACCCGGGCATGTGCCCTTGACCAGAATTGAACCCGGGACCTTTCAGTCTGCAGGCCGATGCTCTGTCCACTGAGCCAAACGAGCTGGGGCTGGATGGGAGACTCTTGCACGGTTCAGTGGTGAAGGAGAGAAGGGGACAGGGTCCTGCAGCCTCGTTGTCTATTTTGGGGGCTTCAATTAGATCCGAGGTAATTAAGTGTCGGTAGAGCCTCTGGGGTCTGGGGCTGGTCCCGGGCTGAGCAGAAACCTGTCTGAATGCTTGAGGGCAACATTTGCTTATTTCCATCCGGCTCCGTGAGGTCCGGGCCCGCAGGGAGCACCTGTAAGTACTTCCTTCCCCAAGGGCACGAGGAGAGTAAAGCCGATTTTATATCTCACTGCTCCGCGTGGGCGTGGGCTCTTGTTCTCACTGGCAGGCTAATTGGATTTTTATTCAGACCATTAATTGTCCACGGTCCTCTGGGAGCCAATCGCTCCTGCGTCAGGATGGCCTTTGTTTGCAGTCTGCGGCTGGGCCTTTCTAGCCTGCTAGATGCTCCTTGCAGAGGAATTCCTGCGAATCCACTGAGGTATTTCATCGCCAGCTCCAAACTGCAGATGCGTAGATGGTAAAGCGACCATCACGGTATGGTTGGCTCTCCTTTTTGGGGTCCCTGTAAATGTTATATTAAATCTGGGTACATTGGAACACATTTAAAATAGTCTAGGGCAGTGGTCGGCCAACTCATTAGTCAACAGAGCCAAATATCAACAGTACAACGATTGAAATTTCTTTTGAGAGCCAAATTTTTTAAACTTAAACTAGATAGGTAGGTACATTGTTATTCACTTAATTAGGGTACTCCTAAGGCTTAGGAAGAGCCACACTCAAGGGGCCAAAGAGCCGCATGTGGCTCGCGAGCCGCAGTTTGCCGACCACGGGTCTAGGGTAAGCTGTCTACTTGATTTTTTTTTCTTCTAAATACAGATTTTTAAATGGATTACTTTGCTTAAAACAAGGCACACACCGACAGGTTATGTGATGTCATCTAGTCAGCAGGTGCCTAAAAGATTTTCCATAATAATGCAGAAGGTTATTTTCTGAAGTTTCATTCATTTGAATTTGCTCATTGTTTGGCTTCCTCTGGGCCGGACCAATTTCAACGCGTTTCCGTGGGTTGTCAGCCCCAATGCCTCTTGCTCCATAATGCCCACCGCCTCGATTCAAAGAAAATTGGTGTTTTGCAATCCTGAAACAGCCGTTGCGTCAAGCCGTCCGATACCGTTCTGTGTGTGTGTGGTTTCTTATGTTACGCAACAGACAAAGCTAATGGCCATCGTAGTCTTTTGTGTTCGAGTTCCTGCATTCCCCATCACTGTGTGTACTGAAAGCAATTTTAAAGGGGCTGTTTGAGACTCCGTCTCTATCTGAAATGCTGGAGTCGTAATGATAGAAGGCAGAGGGTGGGATTCTTTCTTTTTTAAAAGCCAAACTAAGAGAAAATAAACCATAATAAAATACCTCGTCTTCCAGAAGGTACCATGGGTTTTCAGAGTACCAAGCCTCGCTCGTGTTAACATAATACGTAGTTTCCGGAGCTTTGCGGACTAGCGGAGGAAGCACCTGCCTTTGGGGTGCTGGAAGGAGAAGAGAAATGAACCTTGGAGCGCCCCTCCTCCTGCTGTTAGGTCGCCACTTCCCCTCACGGTCCAGGCGCCTTCTCAGTCTGCAGATCTGTCTTCCTGCCCTTGAGTCTGGTTTAGTCTCCTTGCTGTCGGCCAGGGGTCACACACGTTAGGTCCTTGTGCAGGGAGCTTCCTGCCACCGTCATACAAAGGCCAGACCACAGCGCGGGCGGGCGGGCGGACGGGCGGACCTGCAGCCGGAGGATGTGGCCTCTGGACCGCAGCCGGGTCGGTGACGTGGGGTCCAGGGCGCTGGCCCTCGGGCGGCTCTGACCGCTGACCAGGGCTGCCATCCGGAGGTATAGAGCACAGGGGTAGTCAATCAACTAAATTTTTAAACAGCCTCATGGAGGTGTCATTTGCATATCATTCATTTTGATATATTTTCCCAACATTTTATTATTAAAAATTTCAAACAAACAGGAAAGTTGAAAGAATGTTTTTGCAACGATTACCCATATAAACGCACTGCGTAGATTCTACAATGAACACTTTATTTGCTTTATCACATTAAAATACACTTAAAAAATATATATATGTATTTTAATTGATTTCAGAGAGGAAGGGAGAGAGGGAAAGAGAGATAGAAACATCAACGATGAGAGAGAATCAATTGATAGGCTGCCTCCTGCACGTCCCACACTGGGGATCAAGCCTGCAACCCGGGCATGTGCCCTGACCGGGAATCGAACTGTGACCTCCTGGTTCGTAGGTCGATGCTCAACCACTGAGCCACGCCGGCTGGCCCAACAGTTTTTTTTCTTTTAATATAAGAAATGATTCATCTTACAGGCTTTTATTTCACATCTCTGATAGCCTGGCTGTTTAATCGGAGGTTAGCAGTGCTTAGATTGCTGCTGCTTCAGCCATCAAGCCAGCGACAGGCGCCTCCAGCCGTCCCTCTCTGGGGACACGTAGGTCATAAGAACGGTGCAGCTGTGTCTCCACCTGCCCCGGTTCAGGAAGCTGGAGGCCCCCCTGGGTGACACGAGAGCCGTGGCTTCTGCGGGGACCTGCCGAAGCTTGTCATCTGTCACACTGTGGGCCAGGCCCCGTGGGAAGACGAACGAGACCTCCGGCCTCGGCCGGAGCTGACAGCGGCTGCTCTCTGTTGAATCCACAGAACAAGAAGGGCACGGAGCTGCTGCTCGGCGTGGACGCGCTGGGGCTTCACATCTACGACCCCGAGAACAGGCTGACCCCCAAGATCTCCTTCCCGTGGAACGAAATCCGCAACATCTCCTACAGCGACAAGGAGGTAGGGCCTGTCTGCTCGCAGGCGCGCCGGGGGCCCGGCCGCAGGCCTTCCCCATCTTGCCTCCTGGCTGAGGGGTCCCCGGCCCCTCTTCTCCTGTGACAGGAACGTCATTCCCTGCCCAGGCTATGGGTGTTTGGTTATTGATTTTTAGAGCATTTACAGGATAGTATTGGCATTCTATTTTCAAATAGCATCCCTCCGCCCCCTCCCTGCTAACAAGAGGCTGGGGGCTCAACCTGTCAGAACTGAACCCCAAAGGACAAACAGTAAACCAACCCCAAACGCCACCTTTTCTTATTACTTGGCTTCCTATTTCTCTTTGCATTTTAAGTGTGGTAGGTATTAAACCCTTTCTCTGTGTCCAGCTTGATACGTATGGTGGGGGTGTGAGTGTGTGTGTGTGTGTGTGTGTGTGTCAGAGTATCAACAATAAATAATGATATCAGGCTAACCTGCTTACCGGAATTTGAGAATAATTAAGTTTAAATCGCGTAGATCAACACTCTTAGAATTCCAGTATTTCTACACAGCATCTCCCAAACGCTATAATCCTGCACGCATTGGTTTGTTCACTTATTCGTTCTCTGTTAGTTTTAAAGGAATTCTTGAGCATCTGTGTTGCCTTAGGTTTTGTAGGGGGAAGCGAAGATGTAGAAAATCCTGTCTGAGCCCTCCAGGAAGGTCTAGTGACGTCACGAGGGGGCTGCAGTGTGAGGGGCTGACGCCGCAGGGGACGGTGACGTAGTACAGGCCCCTTCACCCCGGCTCGTCCTCACAGGGACGCTGCTGGGAGAGTACGGCCGGGTTTGGGTTTCCCGTGTCACATCACAGGCAGCAGTGACGCAGAGGCATCAGGTGACCCGTGTCCGGGGAGTGGGGTTGCAGGGCCTGCACTCCAGGTTCCCTGAAGCCACCTCACAGGGCACCAGGCAGAGGAGGGCGGCCGGACAGTGCCCAACGCCACGCTGGCGCCCGCGCAGCCAGGTCGCTGAGCGTGGAGTAACTGACAGTTTGTGTGGCCCGCGGAGCCGCCTCCCCCAGGCAGGCTTCCTGCTTTCTCTTCCTGGGAGCAGCTCCCGGAGACGAGCACCAGGCCCCCGTTTCTAATACGAGGTTGCGATCTGCTTGTCCAGACTTGACGAGACAGCTTGAGCTTCTTCTTCTTCTTCTTTTTTTTTTTAAATACATTTTTTATCGATTTTAGAGAGGAAGGGAGAGGGAGGGAGAGATAGAAACGTTGGTTTATTTTATTAAACCAACACAGAAACGTTGGTTTATTTTATTTTATTTTATTTTTTATTTCTATTTTTTTTAGAGAGGAAGGGAAAGGAGAGGAATAGAGAGTTAGAAACATCTATGAGAGAGAAACATCGATTCAGCTGCTTCCTGCACACTCCCTACTGGGGATGTGCCCGCAACCAAGGTACATGCCCTTGGCCGGAATCGAACCTGGGACCCTTCAGTCCGCAGGCCGACGCTCTATCCACTGAGCCAAACCGGCCAGGGCACGTTGGTTTATTTTAAGCGACTCATTGATCCTCTGTGCGGCCCTGGCATGGCGCAGAGCCCGCGGTTTCCACACCACGTGTGGTTTCCCGCTGACAGCTCTGGGATCTGACAGCGAGGCCAAAAACAAGCTTATGAAACTCACAAACAGCAGCCCACACGGAGGCAATACCACTTCTAAATTAACTTGACCGAAAGCTACACAGAGGATTGTTTTCTGTCCTCGTTCGTGCTAGCCCGTCGTGCGACAATATAACACGGGAAAGAAACGCCCGAGAACAGATCTTTCCAAACCTATTTGTCTGCATAGCAGGTGGCTCTTGGGAATGGATACCCATTTTTAAAAGTGCATCTTTGAAACAGAGGACCTGTCTGGTCTCATCAGGAATGGTTGAAAACAACCGTTGCCACTTGTTCTTTATAAAAAAAAATCTATATTTTTTATTGATTTCAGAGAAGAAGGGAGAGGGAGAGGTAGAAACATCCATGACGAGAGAGAATCATGGATCGGCTGCCTCCTGCATGCCCCACCCTGGGGATCGAGCCCGCAACCTGGGCATGTGCCCGACCGGGAATCGAACCGTGACCTCCTGGTTTCTAGGTTGACGCTCAACCACTGAGCCACACCGGCCGAGCCATCCTATCTGTTAACTTCTGTACATATTCTTCACCAGCTTAAGTCCCCTCCTTCTTATGGTAGATCCACTCTGAATCCCCCAGCACATTTGTGATTTGTGCCCCCCAACGAGGCACTAATAGGTGATGTGGCTTCTCGAGTAATTGCCTGTGGTTAGTCTAGTTCCACTAGGTTGTGGGCCTAAGTCAGGGCCATGACTTAGAGCAGGGGTCCTCAAACTTTTTAAACAGGGGGCCAGTTCACTGTCCCTCAGACCGTTGGAGGGCCAGACTATAGTTTAAAAAAAAAAAAAACTATGAACAAATTCCTATGCACATATCTTATTTTGAAGTAAAAAAAAAAAAAAAAAAAAAAAAAAAAAACGGGAACAAATACAATATTTGTATTTGCATGTAGCCCGCGGGCCGTAGTTTGAGGGCCCCTGACTTAGAGTCTGGCGTGGCCCTCCCAGTGTTAGCCCGGAGCGTGGGCCTGTCAAGGGTTTACATTTCAGGTTTCTGAGCCCACGACGGTGCCGAGAACGCACCTTCCAGGATCCTGAACTCCCACAGCCCTGGACTTGCGTCCTCAGGCGCCTCTAATTCAGCGTGGTTTCGTGCCTGGGCCCCCGCAAGCCAGGGCGTGGCACAGCCTGGTGCTGGCTCTTTGCCAGGGTGGCTGCTGCTTCCATGTGCATCCCTAGTTGGTGGGAACATTCCAGGCCGTCAAACCGAAGCCGTTTTCCGCTTTCTTCTTTCAGTTTACTATTAAGCCGCTGGATAAGAAGATCGATGTCTTCAAGTTTAACTCCTCAAAGCTTCGTGTTAATAAGTTGGTGAGTTGAGATCCTGGCTTTTGTGACCGAAAGCTCTAGTTTTCCTGAGAAATTGAACCCACAACCTCGGCCAATCGGGACAACACTCCAACCAACTGACCTACCTGGCCAGGGCGAAAACTTCTTCGATTTTCATGTAGAAGAATGTATCCGTCCTTTCCTTAATCCTTTGTGTCTTTCCTTATCCTGGGATCATAAAGATGTTTTTTAAAATATATTTTTATTGATTTCAGAGAGGAGGGGAGAGTGAGAGAGAGGAAACATCAGTGATGAGAGAGAATCATGGATTGGCTGCCTCCTGCGCACCCCACACTGGGGATTGAGCCCGCAACCCAGGCATGTGGCCTTGACCGGAATCGAACCTGGGACCCTTCAGTCCGCAGGCCGATGCTCTATCCACTGAGCCAAACCAGCCAGGGCCAGTTGTTCTTCTCTGTTCTCTTAGAAAGTTTCAAGGGCTTGAGCTTCGCATGTAAGTCTCTCATCCTCTGGAGCTCATTTTTGCATATGGTGTGAGGGAAGGATCCGACTTTATATTTTTCCACATGAATGACCTGTTGTCCCAGCCCAACCTACTGAGTGAGCTTTCCTAGCCTCCCTGACCGGCAGACTGAAGACCTGCTAACGTGTCTTCTATTTCTCACCTGTGATTTAAAAATATATACATTTTTTTTTATTGATTTCAGAGAGGAAGGGAAAGAGAGATAGAAGCATCAATGATGAGAGAGAATCATTGATCGGCTGCCTCCTGCACGCCCCCCACTGGGGATCGAGCCCGAAACCCCGGGCATGTGCCCTGACCGGGAATCGAACCCCGACCTCCTGGTTCCTAGGCCGACTCTTAACCACGGAGCCACGCCCATTGGGCTTCTCTCTGTGATTTGTGTCCCCTGGCACATCTGAGGCACCTTCAGTGCGCTGTCTCCGGAGCAGAGAGCGCTAGAGGCCATCAAGCAGGGGTTTGGCGCCTCTCTCCACGCTTCCCTCTCAGGTTTCCTGCTGCCCACGGGGACCCTCAGACCACGGGCAATGGCGTAAATGTGTGGGTTTCCCGTTTCTCCCGCTTCCTCGGCCACAGATCCTGCAGCTGTGCATTGGGAACCATGACCTCTTCATGAGGAGGAGGAAGGCCGACTCTTTGGAGGTTCAGCAGATGAAAGCCCAGGCCCGGGAGGAGAAAGCCAGAAAGCAGGTGAGCAAGACCACGTTTGGGCTGCTCTTACCCCCGCACCCCCTGAGGTCCTGGCCCTGGAGAGAAGGAGTGGTTACGGGCTGACCGGGGTCCTTTGGTCATGGGTGACGAGTACTCTTTTTTTATTGATTTCAGAGAGGAAGGGAGAGGGGGGGAGAGAGAGAGAGACAGACAGACATCAATGATGAGAGAGAATCATGGATCGGCTGCCTCCGGCACGCCCCACACTGGGGATCAAGCCTGCAACCCAGGCCTGTGCCCTGACGGGGAATCGAACCATGACCTCTTGGTTCCTAGGTCGACGCTCAACCACTGGGCCATGCCAGCGGGGCGATGAAGGGGACTCTTATTTGATCTCTTTTGAATCTTTCTTGGCTGGTGCCAGCTGGTGGGGTGTCAGCTCTGCAGTTGAGGAATAAACTCCAGTCGCATATCCGAAGGAAACGTCTCTAGTTATTTCTCCACTCGGGCGAAGTGGGAAGAAATAGCCAAGCCTGCCCGTTCCCACCCAGGCGTCCATCTCTCACCCGTCTAGTTGAGCTTCCTCTTGCCCGCCCGTCTCTCCTCTGCCCGGCCGGCTCCTTTTCTAATTAGGTGGTGATGGAATGCATGGCAGCGTTTCCGTGCCGCTGCTGGAATGCTAATTAGCCTCTGGCTGCACTTCCCGCCGGAGGTCAGCCCCGGCGCCCAGCACCCACCCGGCGAGGTGCCGGGAGCGCCGATCAGCAGACAGCAGACGGTCTGATGCTCTATCCACTGAGCCCATAACCTGTTTCCTGCCCGTAGACCACCTCGACTCCCCGAAATCCACACCCCTGGCCCGGGCCTCGCCGCCGAGCATATTAATTGTGGTTCTGGACGGACTACTAGGCAGAGTAGCAGCAGCTGCGGTCGGATGCCCTGAGGACCCACAGACTCAAAGGTGTAATAATTAGTCTGCGAGCAGCCGTCTCTGATGTGGGTCCTCCGGCGCGCCTGGCTCCCCGCCGGCAGCTTCAGCAGGAGATGCCCAGTCTGATCCAGTGCTTTCGACTCTCCATCTCTTAGCTTTCCCAGGTGGCGGGCCATCCATGTGCCCCGTGGGATGCTTTGGGGAGGGGGGCGGGTGGAATTGGGTTTTGTTGGACAAAGAGAGACTCCTGAGCCAGCACAGGGTCCTAATGGGAACTTTCAGAAGCAAAGTGACCTCTGGCCCCTTTGTCAGCAGAGCAGAGCGCAGAAGTGAGAGATCTGAGAAGGACAAGGCGCGGACAGGGCCTCTGGGCTGTGGCAGAGAAGAGCATGGACACCCCCCCGGACCTCCCCTGCCTGTAGGACAGCAGGGGCGCGTCCCCGGCATCCGGCAACTGCAGGTCGGGGGCTCCAGGGCCCCTGGGCGGACAATGACCTCGGAGCCGGCTGGGAAACTTGGTGTGTGAGGCGAGCGAGTGACCCGACTCGCGGACCTCCGTGTTGTCCTCCGTCACGTGGAGCTAATGGGACGCCTCGCCCGTCTCCGACCAAAGGACACGGCGAAACCGAACGCCTGTATCGCTTGAACCACTTTGCAGACGGAGGCCCCTCATTATGGGGGTGGAGACCGCGGGGAAGGTGCCGGGCGGGGAAGGTGCCGTGCTCTCCTCAAGTGGAGGGTAATGGACATGCAGTTACCCGCCTAATGGAAGTCGTGATCTGCTGGAATTAGAGCACAAATTGGCCAGGCTTTCCATGGGCCTGTAAGAGGAAAATTGGAGACGAGTTTGCAGTATTTTATTGCTTGTCTTTGCATTATTCCTCCGAGGTGCAATGCATTTTTTTTTTTTTTGTTTAGTATTTAGAAAAAGCAGCGCTCTTAGGAATCTTGCATTTGAGAGACGCTTGAAATGAGAAGCCATTAAATGTTGCTTTAATTATGAAAGGAAATAAAATAGTGCCGTGGTCACTTCCGGCTGCTGCCTCCTGAATTCAGCGCATACCCTGCCGCAGGCTCACGGAGCACAGCGCTGGTCCGGTGTTTGTTCGCCTGATTAAGCTCGGCATGTGGCCCAGTTCCTACCGCGATGCAGGAGGCGAGGGCAGTGGCAGCGGCGGTGCTGGTGCCGGAAGGACGGGTGCTGTGCTCCCGCCTGGCTCCCTCCGGGCGCAGGCCCGGCTCAGGAGGTGCCTTAGCGGGGGCTGTGGGGGCTGTGGGGGCTGTGCCGTGGCTGCCGCAGCTCCCCCTGTGAAATACAATGTGTGAGCTATTGATGCATCGCGCAGAACGGTTCCATCTTCTCCGGGGTCCGAGGCGAGAGCGGAGCCATTGTTGATGAAATTAGAGGTGTGGGAGGGGTCTGTGTCGACGAGCAATAGCGAGGTGGCTCATCGACCAGATGAGAGAGCCGCCCGTTTCGGGGGCTCCGTCTCAGGGACAAGGAACCTGCATTGCGTCCTACCAGCCACAGGGCACGGTGTGTGAGAATGCCTCCTTCGACCCAGGGAGACGCCTGCCGTGGCTTTTTGTTGGTGGTTTCTCTTATTATTTTTTTTTTAATATATTTTTTTATTGATTTCAGAGAGGAAGGGAGAGGGAGAGAGACAGAAACATCAATGATGAAAGGGAGTCATTGATCGGCCGCCTCCTGCACTCCCAGCACTGGGGATCGAGCCCGCAACCTGGGGATGTGACCTGACCGGGAATCGAGCCCCGACCTCCTGGTTCATAGGTCGATGCTCAACCACTGAGCCATGCGGGCCAGGCTGTTGTTGGTTTCTCTCCCGCTCGATGTTTTCTCAAGGAGCGTAGTTTGCACCCCTGCAGCTGGTTTAGAAGGACAGAGGGTGGTGGGTGACGAGAACCAGAAGTGTCCCCACAGCGGGGACTCTGCACACTGGGCACCCTTGGGTTCCCCGTGGCACCGCAGGTCGTGAGCCCATGACTCAGTGGCTGCTCGTTCTCGTCCCCCGCCCCCCCAGATGGAGCGGCAGCGCCTGGCCCGAGAGAAGCAGATGCGAGAGGAGGCCGAGCGCACCAGGGACGAGCTGGAGAAGAGGCTGCTGCAGATGAAAGAAGAAGCGACCATGCCAAACGAGGTTCTGTTGATCCCCGGGGTGTCTGTGGCGGGGGGGGGGGGGGCGGATCTGGGTCCCAGGAGGTTGCACGGAGTCCCGCTCCCTTTGCTGGAGTTAGGCCTCCCGGGCACCACAAACGAGAGACATCTGCTGTGACATTTCAGCTTAAAAAAAAAAAAAAAAAAATCAGTGCCTCTTCCTTTCCGTGGTGCTGGCAGAGGCGGGTTCAGGTGGTATCTTTGTTGCTGAAAGTATTACAGATGTTGGCAACCCGGACATCTGTCTGTTTGCTTGTCCCATTGACCCCCTGCACCCCACCCCCGCCCCCGCCCCTCCCAGGCCTTCACCACTCTGTTGTCTGTGTCCGGGGGCTGTGCATAGATGCAGATAAGTTCCCCGGTTCGTGGGGTACCTTTAAAGCGGGGCTCAGCTTCGGCACGACCGGCCCTGGGGCCAGGTCGTCCTTGGTGGGGTCTGCCTGTCACTGAAGGGCGTTTAGTGGTGTCCCTGGCCTCCATCCATCCGATGCTGGTCGCACCCTCTTACCCCTCATTTGAGACAATCAAAAAGGTCTCCACGCATCATTAGGTGTCCCCCTGCGGGCAGGGTCTCCCCCTGGTTGGGAGCTGATTTAAAGGGAAAGGAGAACGGGGTGAGGTTGGTTTCCCCCTCCTCCAGCCTCGGTTCTGGTGGGGACTCACCGTCAGGCGCCTTCCGTGTTGCTCTCGCGGTGGGACCTCACAGGCCCTTTGAGAAGAGGAGAGTGTGGCTTGCTGTCCGTCCCGTCGCCAGGATGTCGTCCGAGGGGACACTCGGTAGCAGGGCCCACAAGGAGTCCCAGACTCGGGCTCTTGCCGACCCGGAGGCCCCGAGCTCCGATCTCGTGGGAGAACAAGCAGAGGATCCCCGCCGGCTTCCCGCTCACGGGCCCTCCTCTCCAGATGCGGTCGGAGGAGACGGCCGACCTGCTGGCGGAAAAGGCCCAAATCACCGAGGAGGAGGCGAAGCTCCTGGCGCAGAAGGCTGCCGAGGCCGAGCAGGAGATGCAGCGCATCAAGGCCACGGCCATCCGGACGGAGGAAGAGAAGCGCGTGATGGAGCAGAAGGTGCTGGAGGCCGAGGTGCTGGCCCTGAAGATGGCCGAGGAGTCCGAGAGGAGTTCAGAGGCGGGGGGGGGGGCCAGGCACTGAGATAGAGCTGACCGCAGCTGTCCTCAGGCTGCTTCTCTGTCCGGGGCGGGGACAGGCTCCTTGGGGGCCAGGCCGGTGCTGCCGGAGCTCCCGGAAGGGACATGGGCACACAGTTCCCTCGTTGAGTGACATCTGTCACGCGTGTGCCTTTGTGATGAGCCCGGTCCCTCGGATACCGTGTTTGCAGGGAAACCGTCGAGCGTGTCCGAGACTTGCTTTAGCTGAGATGTGAGGAGGCTCTTCTTACATTTAAAAAACGTGTTTTTTAAAAATATATATATATTTTTTTTGATTTTTGAGAGGAAGGGAGAGGAAAAGAGAGATGGAAACATCCATGATGAGAGAGAACCATCGATCGGCTGCCTCCTGCAGGCCCCCCACTGGGGATGGAGCCCGCAACCCGGGCGTGTGCCCTTGACCGGGAATCAAACCGTGACCTCCTGGTTCCTAGGTCGATGCTCAGCCACTGAGCCATGCCGGCCGGGCCCTCTCCACGTCTTGCATGTCGGTCTGGGACGACGGTTCCTTGTTTTCTGCCCTGTCCTGGGCCCCTTGCCCTGTGTCCGGGTCGCCTCCCCGTGCGTGATGCATGCTGGGCTGGATCCTGTGTCCTGCAGGGCAAGGACCTGCACCAAAGTGTGAGGCCCTCAGTGGTGGTGTCTGAGGAGGTGGGCCCTTGGCCTGCAGATGAGTTTCAGGGGGATGGGGGTGGGGGGCGGCTGAGAAGAGTCCGGTCCCTCCTCTCCAGGGGAAAAGGGGGGGAAGGGACCCATTTCCTCACCTTCTGCGGGGGTGACAGCTCCTCCTTCCCGTGCAGGGCCAAGGAGGCCGATCAGCTGAAGCAGGACCTGCAGGAAGCCCGCGAGGCAGAGCGAAGAGCCAAGCAAAAGCTCCTGGAAATCACCACCAAGCCCACGTACCCGGTGAGCCTGGGGGGACCAGGGTGGGGAGGGGAGGCGGGGCTGGGGGGGCTGCCCAGCCCTTGGCTTCACCGGGCGGTGCCTGCAGGGTGACTGCTCACGCGAGCACCTGGCAGAGAAGGGGTGCAGAGCCTGCAGGTGGGGTCTGGGCAGGACGCCTGGGCTGCCATTTGGCCTTGGAGTCGTCAGGCACGTCTCTGGCTGCCAAGGTAGCGAGCAGCAGGGCCTTTTACAGCTCGGAAGTGTTCTTCTTATTCCAAGTAGAGTAGACCCGCATCGCTCTCGAGAGAACTGGCTCTCCAGCCTCTTAGCACCAACCTGGATGTCACCTTCAGCGACCGTGATGTGCTCTGCACCGTGATCCTAGTTCTGGGCAGGGAGACCCTGTGTCCCTCAAGCGACCTATTGCCGTGCGGGAACCGGCCTCCAGGAACCAGCTTCCAAACTCAATTTGGGACGAGGAGGCAGATAGCAATTCAATGGGGTCACAAGACGAATCGAGCAGCCTAGTTATTTATTATTGATTTCAGAGAGGAAGGGAGAGGGAGAGAGAGAGAGAAACATCCATGTGAGAGAGCATCATGGATCGGCTGCCTCCTGCAGGTCCCCCACTGGGGATCGAGCCCACAACCCAGGCCTGTGCCCTTGACCGGAATCGAACCTGGGACCTTTCAGTTTGCAGGCTGATGCTCTATCCACTGAGCCAAACTGGCTAGGGCTGGACTTTTTAATCATAGTTCGTTGTACGGATGGACTACAGTTCATCCAACCAGTCCCCAGTGGATGGTACGTAGCCTGTTTTCTTTTTCAATTACAAACAAAAGCCGCACGGAACATCCCTGAACACAAATATTTGCACGTACACGTGGGAGAATCCGTAGAATAAATTCTCACGAGTAGAACCGTGGAGTCAGAAGACCATGGTGGCAGGAGGCGGTGGTGGTGCTGGGAGTGGGAGGCGGGGCCTACGCTGCTCCCGTCTGCTCCATGGCTGCCAGGGGTGGGGAGAGGGGAGTCGGTGATTAGCACAGCAGTGCCCTCGGCTCGTGTAGAGCCCAGACCTCCTAACCGGAGATTTCTCGTTTAGCCCATCAACCCGATTCCAGCGCTGTTGCCTCCTGACATGTCAAGCTTCAACCTCATCGGCGACAGCCTGTCTTTCGACTTCAAGGATACTGACATGAAGCGACTTTCCATGGAAATAGAGAAAGAAAAGTACGTAGCCTCCCCGTCCCCCAGAGCGGAGCGAGCTGCCTGGGCCGGGGGGAGGGGCGGGGGGCGGCCGCGGCTTGTCGCTAGCTCCTGCGAGGTTTGCTCTGTCCTCACCACCTAGAGGAAGAATTTTCTTAATTCAGAAATGAAGGCGACAGGCCAGCATTCCATCTTCGGGATAAAAACGATACTTGATTGGAGGCCTGGGGATTGCAGTGGCTCG